CTTCCCCCCCCCGCCTCAAAACGCTCGAACGGGTAGATATCGACTGCGCACGACTCTGTCCTCCTTCCTCACAACGCTACCCACAGCAGCAGCTTAGCAGCTATGGACCACCACTCGAGTCTATGATGATGATGATGACGATGATACCCGGAGTCCAACAAAGGATGTCCTCTGTTTTCGAGCGCTCTGGTCTGGTAGAGACCATTCCAGCCTCGATACGAAATGCCGGTTCACATGCATCAGTCGTATAGATCCATTATCTCGTCATGCTCCCTGCAGAACCACACAATTAACACGGATAAGAAACGATAAATGAGGACAAGAAAAGGTACGAAAGGGCAAGAGAGGATTACACCCTATACGACTGGATAAGATGATCGCAAAAATTGCAGAGTGAAAGAAGGAAAGGAAGATAAAGGAAGAAAGAACGAAGTGAAGAAGCGGGGGCACTGCGTTCAATCCTCTGCAGCGCAACTTGACGAAGTTAGCCAAAAAACGATGCCGCCCCCGCCGCCGCCGCACTTGACGAACTTAGCCAAAAAAAAAAAAAAAAGCCATTAAGTGAAAATAATACTGACAAATTTTCGAAGTTTTTTGACGAAATTGGGCTTCCATAAGAAAAGACCAGTACTTTTAGGATTTTTCTCTGGAGTCTCGAGTCCCCCCAGACTATCTGATGTATCTCGACGTAACGGACCGTCAAAATACATCCAACAGTCCAAAAACAAATGACGAATAATCCGGTTACATCGGCTACCGGCCCCAAGACGCCAAACTATTATCGACAGTCCAATGTCGTGGGGATGCGAACACGTCAAAAAATATTGGATTTTATTATCGATAACCCAAATTTCGTTAAAATTCAACAAAAATGTTAGTTTTAACTAAATGGCTATTAAAAGAAAGTGACGGAGGATGTACTTATTATCTTGTATGAATTAGTGCTGTAAATATTGTCAGATGCATGCCACTATCGCGTATGAATTAGTCCTGTAAGTATTGTCCGATGCATGTCATCCATCCACCTCTCTCCCGCATTCCGTTTCTCTTTCTCCATCATTGTGTGTGTGCCATTTTTACCGTTTCAAATTTCAATGACAACGCTAATCTTTTTTTCTCTGTATGTTCCAATTATTTTGACGAATGTCCTGGTGCTGGTGGACATCATCTGATAATATTGGGACATCCTCTAAAATTGGACCGTCCGTTCGAATTGACACAGAGAAGACTACATGTGAACAGCAATGATACTGAGAAGATTAATGGAATGGCTGCGCAAGGATGTCATTGATTGATGACACGCATAAGTAGAGAGAAATGGTACCAATTTGTAGAAGAAGGGGAGGGGGGGGGGGGGGGGGGGG